TGCCAACCTAGCAGTTCAAAAGCAAGAAACGGCAAGTAGATATGATAAATAAGGTACCGCTTTGTTGGGAAGGTCACAGCTTTCCCTGCGCCTCGGTGTCTAGTCATGCTGGCCACGTGACCACGGAGATGTCTTCGGACAGCACTGGCTCTTCAGCTTGGAAACGGAGATTAGCACTGCCCCCTAGAGTCGGATGCGACCCGCTTTTGAGCAAGGGAAACCTTTACCTTTAAGATCTCCCATGGGGAATAAGGCCATGGAGTCCACCCTGCCAAGGAGCGGTTTTCTGCAGGGGAAGTGATTTCTGTCACTTGATGAAGGTTCTGATTCTGGGAAATCTCTGAGGCCCCCGCTGGGAGGTTGACAATCCTCTTTGAGCCCCACCCCCTCCAGCATCATGACCCTTTCCCTTCTCCACTTTGTACAAATCCCCCCTGTTGTGTACTGAGCCATGAGTCATCCATGAGCTCGTTACCCCAGAACAATAGCTTCCCAGGATTCTGGAGAGGGCCAATAGAGATGTAGTATTATGTAAATAGCCTATTGTTGGGAGTGCGGTGTGTTGGTCCCAAACCCAGTATTTAACACCCCCTCCTCCCAGCCCTGTTGGACCCAATTTGTGTCTCTGACTGTGTTTTTCCCAACCCAATTTGAGAAACACACAAAAACAGTCCCGTAGAGGACGAACACTTAAAAATGTATTTGGAATATTCAGAATGTGGAAAGAGATTCAGTAATACTGGCAGTGTTCAACAGCAAAAACCTTTTGAATGCTCGGAGTGTTTAAAGAGATTCAGTTTGAGTTGCTATCTTGAACAGGACCTAAGAACTCACATGGATGAAACATTTTGAATTGTCAGAGTGTGGAAAGAGATTGAGTAACAGTAGCAGTCTTCCGTGGCATTAGAGAACCCACACAAGGAGAAACTATGTACCTGCTTAGCCCTGGGGTGTCAAACTCATTTGTTATGAGGGCCAGATCTGACATAAATGAGACTTTGTTGGGCCAGGCCATGTGTGTCATAAAATGTAATGCCAGGTAGTGGAGTGAAGGACTCACACGAGACATGATCTTTTGAGGGTGAAGAAGGGTCTGCTCCAAAGGAGCAAGAGACTTAATTTTATACACACTCTGCCCCCTCCACCGTGAGGTGAGGCTTGTGGCTTTGCACGTACAGAAACAGGGAAAAACAGATACTTAAGCAGAATGTCTAGGAAGCTTACACAGTATAATAATTAACAAGCTACTCCTGGCTTTAAGATGCTCGCAGTTTCAGGATGTGCAAAGGTCAGGAATTTCAGTGTACCAGAGTCACTGATCAATCCTATATGGACAGAGTCTGGATGTGAACAGAACCAGGACTGGTGTGCCATATATCGCTGATCCTCCCCACAGTGGAGATATACACTTTATACAGGACACAAACATAATTAAATATTTGTTTTACTTAAAATTAAAACATGCTTAAAACATTAGCACTCTTGCAATATTTTGTTTATTTAACAGTGTCTGATAACCGGCACTTCTTGTTCTGAATTATTGCATCAAAATGTCTGTGTTGTAGAATTTCTTGAATATGCTGTTCAAGTGTGTATCTGTAAGCTGCAAACCTGCTTTTGATTTATTGAAATTTATTACAGAAATTTTATAGTCAGTGTTCTGAGCCTACAACCCAGGAGAAAACATGAAATGACATGGTATTGCGATCCTTTGCACATAAGTTGATTCATGTGTTGCTCAAGAACATGAGAAGGCATCCTGACACAGACTGAGGGCTATGTTTTTGTCTAAAAATTATAGTTTTCCCCAGAGAACTATCTACAATTCCTATGAGGCAGTGCAAAAATAGAGAGACAGCAAGTATCAGCCTATTATCTGGGAAGTCTAGGTTCAAAACCCCAAGTCTACAAAGGAAATGTGCTGGGTGAACTTGGTGTGGACACACACCCTTCGCCTAATCCACCTCACTGGCTTGTTGTTATTCCTCATCTAAATAGTTCACATTGCTTTCTTACTGAGAAAGACTGGACTGAGAGGGCATGAATACAGTGGAAAAAAGAGGAGGGGAACCCAGTTACACCCAGGGGAGCCGTGCCATAACGTGCCCAACAACACACACACTATAGCAAGGCACAGAAACGCTCATACCTTGAGTAATGCTTCGTTGGGCTTATGGGTGCGTTGTATCTCTCCCATGCAATAGAGGCAGCCAAGCAAAGCAAGCTCTGCTTAGTTCCCTCCTTCCCTTCCTCCCTCCGGGGAGGAGCCTCAGCCAATGGAGGGGAAGAAAGGCTTGCCTTTCTCTTCTGTGTGACTGAGGCAACCTGGCCAAGAAGCAAGCTGTGGCTTGTTCCCTCCTGCTTGCTGGGAGGGGCATCAGCCAAGGAACAGAAGCTTGCCTATCTATCTCTCCTAAGCAATTGAGAGAGTCTAGCAAAGCAAGCTATGATGCATTAGCAGCAGCAGCGTTGGAGAAAGAAGCAGGAGACAGCCAGTTCCTCGAGGGCTGGATGGGAGCCCTCTGGGGCCCTGATCCAGCCTGTGGGCCGCATGTTTGAGACCCTTGGCTTAGCCCATGAAAAAAAAGGTTTTCTCTTATTTCACACCTAAGAGATGACCACAGGCCATATAAAACATCGGCAGCTTGAAAGTACACAGAAATCTTATTCTAACCAGGAAGAAATGTTTAAAATGCTAGGACTGGATGGAACTTTATCCATGTTGGAAGCAATGCTTCTTCTAAGCTGCGGAGTCTTGTGAGCAAAAATTCTGCTTTGTGAGCTGCTGGCATTAAAGTTGTGGGCAAGCGATTTGGCTCCTGCATAAACGAGTTTGCCCTTCCTGAACTAAGACAAAAAATGTGTGAGCCGGAGGCTAAAAAAACCCTGTGAGCTAGCTCACACTAACTCAGCTTAGAGGGAACACTGGTTGGAAGCCTTCAAATAGACCCCACAGGGAAGAAAGCAGGGATGGGTTCTGCCAGGTGATTTATTTATTTTTCGCATTTATATCCCACCTATCCTGTAAACGGGCTCAGGGCGGGTTAGAACATTTTAATAAATGCAATAAAATTTATAACACATTAAAACATATAAAACAATAGCCATGCTTGCCATAGGGAGAATCCGGCCCACTGATGTAGCTAGGCATGGCCAGTTGCCAGTAGGTGGGAGATTGCAACCTGGGGCGGCCCATATGGATGCCCACTGCCTCAGCCAAAGGCCTGGCGGAAGAGCTCTGTCTTGCAGGCCCTGCGGAATTGCATTAGATCCCGCAGGGCCCTGATCTGAATAGGGAGCGTGTTCCACCAGGTGGGGGGCAGGGCAGAAAAAGCCTTGGCCCTGGTCGAAGCTAGGCGGACATTCTTTGGGCCAGGGACCACCAGGAGATGTTGACTCAGAGTGTAACACTCTCCTAGGCATATATGGGTATGTATAAGGCTTTGAAGGTAATTACTATCACCTTGAAGCGGATCCGGCACTGAACCGGCAACCAATGCAGCTGGAAGAACACATGGTGAATGTGGACCAGCACAGGCGTTGACGTCAGCAGGTGCGCCGCCGCATTTTGTACCAGCTGTAATTTTTGGAGCAACTTCAAGGGTAAGCCTGTGTAGAGCAAGTTGCAGTAATCAAGCCTGGAAGTGACCATTGCATGGGTCACCGTAGCTAAGTCCTGGGGGGAGAGATAGGGCTTCAGTAGCCCGATCTGCCTAAGATGGAAAAATGCAGATCTGGTGACTGCAGCAGCCTGGGCCTTCACAGATAAGGAGGTACCGAGTGTTACTCCCAGGCTCTTCACCAACTGGGCCGGCACCAGAGGTGTCCCTTCCAGTGTGGGAAGCCTGGTGCCCACCTCCAAACCCCCCTCTAAAGAAGAAGAGATTGGATTTATACCCTGTCCTTCACTCAGAGCGGCTTACAAACTCCTTTTCCCTTCGCCTCCCCACAACAGTCACCTTGTGTGGTAGGCGGGGCTGAGAGAGCTCTGACAGGAACTGCTCTTTTTCAAGAACAGCTCTTGTCAGAACTACGGCTTGCCCAAGGTCATCCAGCCAGGTGCAAGTGGAGGAGTGGGGAATCAAACCCGAAGTGCAGAATCAACCCCTGCATCTCCAATACTGCCATGGTCTTAGAGAGGGGTGTTAGTAGTTCTCAGGATTATGGACCGTTCATGAATTTCTATTTATATATTCAATTTATGGCCTGCCTTGGCCATCTCCTCCTGCATGGTTTGCCTAAGCAAGGCTAGAACCCAGAGGGGGAAAACGTCAAGGGCCTTGATCCATGTGTCTTACTCACGAGTACTCTGGCCTGAAAAAAATATACACAATTGTGTGCTAGATGCCCACAGAACAATACAACAATAAGAGAGACTAGATTAAAGCCATAGCACCATTTAGTGTCTGGTAAGGAAAAACAACCACTTTTTCCTTCGTAGAAAAAAATACAAAGGTCAATGAAATAGCATTACACATAGCAGTCTACTCCAGACTCTCTCAGTCAATATCCTTCTAACAGTCTTGTGTTCTCAGAAGCAGTCTGCTCCAAATTCAATCTCTCTTTCAACACTTATTAGAGATATTTCAGTGTTTCGGACCTCTGGTCTTTCCTCAGGAAAGAATCTATAAACACAGAATTCCAGTTGTATTACACTGAAATTACGTTATACTACATTGGTTTATCCATCTCTATAAAAATAAAGTGAGTATAAAAGTTGATAATGTTGTACAAATTAATATCCAGTCAAAAATAGAAGATTGAAGTCAAAATGAGGAGGAAGTACTTGTATTTTATTGCAATGAAATCCGGAAAAAAATCAGGCCAAAGGACCCATCAAAACTGACTGCTTTCTAACAAAACTTGTTCCAACAGGCGCAACGGCGCTAATCAGAATGCTTATAAGTTTTAAGAATCAACCTTCAATCTAAGTTTACCACTACACCGTAACTACCCCCTTACCTCCCACTTCCCCCTTCCCCCCCTACCCTCCCTTTCAGGTCCCTGCCCCCCTTAGGTCAATGCACAGGCTTTGCTCTTGGAACGTGCAGTCCTAGTGTCGCGCTTTGATCTCGCGGCTTACCACCACCTCCCCCTTGCGGGCAAGCTCTGTAAGCTCCCAGCCGACACAACTCTAGATGAGACGCTACCCTGCCCGCGCCTCCCCCCCCCTCCTTTTGTTATGTGCTGCATGTTGTTTCTGCCTCTGCCTCTTTAAGACTTGGGAAAGTAATGTTGAGTTCCTGCTTCCTTTTATGGTAGTGTTATTCAGTAGGTGGGGCATCAGCGATGTCTTCCTGGTCATCTGATTCCCTTTGGCGAATAGGGATTTTTGCAATCTTTTCTGGTGTGTCCAATTCCAGCAGGCTTCGTTTCTGCGACCTGCGATTGTCGGAGTCCTCTGCTACCCCCAGCTCCTGTAGCAGTTTCACTCCTGTTTCCTCGTCTGCAGCCTGCAGGATCTTCCCCTTGAATGCCACTTGCAATCTTCCTGTAGGTAACCATTTGTATCGTATCCCTTTCGCAGTTAGCCTGGAAGTAGTTGCCTTCAGCCTATATCTAATGGTCAGAGCCTCTTGTGGAATGTCGGGGAAAATAGCTATGCGTATGTCTTTAAAGAGCAAGGCTCCTTTGGTCTTTGCTTCTTTTAGGATTACATCCCGAGTCTCCCAATTTACAAATTGTACTAGGATATCCCTGGGCACTCTTTTCCTGGGGTTATTTGGAGCTCCGAGTCTGTACGCTTTGCTAATCCCCAGGTCCCGTGAGGGCTCAATTGGGATTATGTTTGTCAGCCAATCCTTCATGAACTTGCTTAAACTTATAGCTTCCTCCGCCCCCTCCGGCACCCCTCTAAATTTTAAATTTAATTGTTTGTTTCGCGCTTCTAATAGCAACAAGCGCTCTCTCATTTCCTTCTCTGACTTCCGCAGGTCAGAAACCTCCGATTTAACTGTAGTGCTTGTTTTAAGGGCTGTTTCTGCCGTACGTGTTGTTATATTCAGGGCTGACTGTATGTCTTGAAGCTGTTCCTTAATAGGCTGCATTGAGAGTGATATTTTCTCCCCTATTCTAAACTCCATTCTTTCTAAAATACCTGGGAGGTCTTGTATATCAAAGTTCAGGCTCATCTGTTTGGACGTTGAGCCCCCGTCCGCCATTGTGGTCGCTGCCGTGGTTTTCACCCCGATGCTGAATTTTGCTGTATTCGGATTTTGGGCCACTTTTGTTGAGTTTCTCTGAGCCCCCGCTGAACTACCATCATTTTTCCCCATCTTTTGTTTAAGTTTGGTTTCGCTTCGTAGTGCTGTGGAGGGGGGGGGGACCGGAGATTTGCGGAGCGTTTCTCTTCACAGTAATTGTAGGGTTAACTTCGACATGCCTTACCTTTTTCTGTTTTGCTCAATAAAAGTAATAACTTTTTATCTCAATAACAGATGAAAAGCTTCAACTGCCCACTTCCACACATCGAGCTTCTGTTAAACGGACATGACATTTTTTTTACAGGCCTGGCAATCCTAAAATTCCCTATCTCAAAGCAACCCCTCCAAAGATATCATGCTCTTGCAAGCCATGGTAGACCCAGGTTCAAACCCCCATTCAGTTATGTTATGAAAGCTCACTGAGTGACTGAGTGACCATGAGTCAGTCACTATCTCTCCTCTTAACTTACCTCACATGGTTGACAGGATAAAATGGAGGACAGGGAAACTATGTAAGTTGCCCTGTGCTCCTTGGAGGAAGAACAGGGCAAAAAAGTATTAATTTCTCCCCTCCCCCACATCTTTTAGGGCATGTTTAAGAAGCATAGGGCTGTTGCCAAAAATGATAGCCCTGTGTCAAACTATTCCCCTTGCCTTCATCGCATGCAATACAACTTGCTTCAGCTCCTGGCATCATGGTAATTATGCTTCATATTTTCCTGCCCTTGATGAAGAAAGCTAATTGTGTAGAGTGGGAAAATACAGAGCCCCTGCTTCAAAACCTCTGAAATGAAAACCATCAGTTTTGGGGGGGGGGCTCCTTTCCCTTCTGCGTAGTGATGAGCAGAACTACTCAGCTCTAGTCTGCAAGACATTTGAGAGAACAGAATTAAATGTTTCCACTTTTCCAAAACTTCAGTGTGCACCAGAGAAGGTGCAGGCAGCAAAAGTCAGACTGGAGGCTTTCATGATGCAAGGTAGATCTTGCACTTTGATGACCTCTGGCATTTTAACTTCACCTTACTGCCTGGTCTGCTCCATATCCTATAGCTGAAGCTCGATAATCTATTAAGGGGGAAGTAAAAACGCTACTCTTTCACTGGGGTCTGAAAACCACTGGGATATCATCACAGGGGTGCCCTAAATAGGGTTCCCAGGTTCCCCCTGGCCACTGGCAGGGGATGAGGGTATAGAGGTGCCAGCTCCAGGTTGGGAAACTCCTAGAGATTTGGAGGTGGAACCTGGGGAGAACAGGGACTTCACTGAAGTACAATGTCATAGAGTCCACTCTCCACAGTATCCATGTTTTCCAGGGGAACTGAATATCTGTAGTCTGGAGATGAGCTGTAATTTCAGGCGATCACCAGGTCCCACCTGGAGGCTAGCATCCCTTGCACTAGATCCAGAGGTCATTTCGGGGGGGATCGCGGGGGATCGCAGTCCCCCCAGGTGAGGTACAAGGGGGCGGGGCACATGACGAAGCCCCGCCCCCTGCTTCCGGCTGCCCCGCTTCCGGCCCTCATTCAGGCAGGAGGAGGCAGGAGAAGAGGGAGGGTAAGTTGCTTCCTCCCTGCCTCTCCCCACCCCTGCCTGCCTGGGGCCAGGGAGGGCCTTTGCGGGGCTTCCTTGCACTCCCGCCGGCCTTGCAGGTCCATTGCCGGGCCCCTCATGGGG